AAAACACAATTCCTGGTGCTCACATGTCCCGAAGCCTGTCAGTAGCTCCAAGCTAAGAATCCTTGCTCTCTGCAGTGGTATTCCTGGTTGTGTGATTATGAGAGGCAAAGTATACTGCATAGGGGATGCTGTAGTCTGTTTTGTGTTGCTGTAACAGAAATACCAGAGACTGGGTAATTTATAAAGAAAAGAGGTTTATTTGGCTTATGATTCTGGGACAGCTGCGTCTGGCACAGGCCTCAGGCTGCTTCTACTCATGGCGGAAAGTGGCAGGGAGCCAGCGGGTACAAGCAGATCACATGGTGACAGGAAGCAAGAGAGAGAGAGAAGGTGCCAGGGTCTTTTTAAGCAACGAGCTCTCATGGGAACTAATAGAGTGAGAACTCACTCATTAATCTCCCCTCCCCCCAGGGAGAGCATTAATCCATTCATCAGGGATCCGCCCCCAAGACTCAGTCAGTTTCCAACACTGCCACATTGGAGATCAAATTTCCACGTGAGTTTTGGAGGGGGCAACACATCCAAACTCCATCATTCCGCCCCTGGTCCCCCAAAACTCATGTCCCTCTCACATGCAAAATACAATCATTCTATCCCAACAATCTCAAAAGTCTTAGCTTGCTCCAGCACCAACTTAAAAGTCCAAAGTCCAAAGTCTCATCTGAGACCAAAAGCAAAAGTCCTTCCAGCTGTGAACCTGAAAAACAAAACCAAATTTATCTACTGCCAAGGTACAATGGTGAAACAGACATTGGGTATACTTTCCCATTCCAAAAGGGAGGAATAGGCCAGAAGAAAGGAAAAACAGGCCCCAAACAAGTCCAAAACCCAGCAGGGCAGACATTATGTCTTAAACCTCCAAAATAATCTTCTTTGACTCCAAGTCCTGCATCCCGAGCACAATTGGGCATATGAGCCCCCAAAGCATCAGGCAGCCTTGTTCCCACTGTAAGGATACCGTAGGCACCCAGGCGGGGGACACTCCCTGGCAATATGGCGCCCTTCCGGGTTCTTCTCTGCAGTAGACAAGCCCGCCGGCACCAAACCTCAACCAGTCACAGGTCAAAGCTCACCTCCCGCCCAGCCCTGTCCAATCAGCTATCGCCCCATCCATCCCCCATCCAAACCCGGAACGCAGCTCCCTATAAATATACGCGTAAAGCGGAACTTCTCTGGTGAATTGTCAGCCCGGGTCTCGCGTGCCTCCTTCATCTGTCCGTGCCTCCTTCATCTGTCCGTGCCTCCTTCATTGGTACCGAAACCTGGGAGGAGCTCACCCCTTACCCGAGGGGACTCCTTCTCGGATCTCCTTCACTCTCTCAGTGGTTCCCGCTGCTGACGCTTCACCCTCATCCATTTTCTCTGGCGCTGGCTTCCCGCACCCACCACTGGCTCATCTAAACGTAAGTCTCCCTTTAGAGGTGCCATTTTAAACTAGGACTACCCCTTCGGCATCCAGACCTAACAGGGGCAGTACGCCCCACTATGGCCTTCAGGGCCTCAGTGGACCCCTAAATACTCCCTTGTCACACCAGACCGTCCACATTCTACTCCTCTCCCAACCCAAAGTGAAAGGTGATCCTTGCAGGGCAAAGCTCCCATTCTCTCACTTTCTCTTTCAATTTACTGTTTCTGTTTCTCCGAGCCCAGGGCTCCTGAAAATCCTGGTGCCGGGTTCCTTCGAGCCTCCGGGCACTCGCCCTTGCCAAGGTGACGGAAGATTAAGTGACGACTTATACCTTCCTCCCTCCTGGTTCATCTCTGAACCTCCGGGACTGGCACATTATAGTGGGGACGCCCTCTATATTTGTGTCTTTCCCTCCCACCGGCCAAAGGATTCTCTCTTCTCCACCTCCCTAGCTTCTTCTCTCCTTCCTGCCTGAACATGGGAGCTTCCCCCTTGTCACCTTTAGCGGACTCCCCCCTTCAATGTCTTATAAAAAACCACAACACTTTGTCTTTAGAACCCAATATCAAGCCTAAGCTTCTTATAAAGCTCTGCACACAAGAGTGGCCCCAATACCAATTAGATAATCAAAACAAATGGCCACCAGAAGGCACACTAGACCCTGATATTCTCTGAGATTTGTTTAACCTCTGCCAGTGCCAGAGAAAATGGAAGGAGATTCCCTATGTTGCCCACTTGCCCCAAATCCCTCCCTACCTGTTCTCCCTCCCAGGTTCTCCTTGCTTCCAACCCCCCTCTGTCCTCACCGCCTCCGTCATTCCCTACTTCTGATGGTTTTGACCCTGCGGATGAACCTCCTCCGTACAGACCCCCTCCTTCTGTAGTTCCGTCTGCCCCTGAATCCCCACAACCCACTCCACTGCCATCTTCTTCCTCCCCACCATTTTCTGCCTCACCGGCTCCACCGCCATCTTCCACCACACCTAACCCTTCAACAAAATAATGCCTTTGCCTGCACTCCTCACCCCTCTAACCCTCTCAAGCTCTGCCTATCCCGACTCCCAAGTCT